TTTTACTATTATGTTACTATTATGTTACTTATATTAATAAACCTCCTGTTATTTTACTATTATTTTGCTATTATGCTGCTGTTATGCAACTATTATTTGGTGGATATAGGGTAGAATAATAACAGATTTTTTTTCTATTATTTACCTATTATTCATTCTTTATTCATTTGTTCAACCTGTAAATATATGTAAAATTTTAAATTATATTTCAACAAGAGTTTTAATAAAATATTTAAAATTTTATTTGAATTTCTGTTCATATTTAGTTATAGATTTGATAATTTTTTTTGATACAAAATTAATAAGATAAATTAAGGATTTGTTGAAATAGTGAGATATTAAAGTTAGATAAATAGTTCTATTATAGTAGTAATTAATTATTTTTGAGACCAATCAAAGAGATTTTTTTATATTTATTATGAAATTTTAAGTTTAGTTTACTTTATAGTTTTTTTCTTTTTGAAAAGTTAGAAAAATTGTTTAAAGATTTAGATATTTTTTCTTTTTTATCAATAAAAATAAACTTAACAGTATAAAAGATTATATATTGTTGATAATTAAGAGATTGTGTTTGGATTAATAACTTTAATTAGAAATAAGAAATACAATTAGGAAGAGAAAAAATTTTAATGCTAGGTCAAGAGAGTGTTTGTCATTGTTAATAAATACATATGTAATGTTTAATTTATAACAAATAATACAAATATAAATGTGTTATGTATAAGCTTTATTAGCTACAGTATTAGATACAAAATTAGTAATAGTTGAAGAGATACTACAAATAAGTTATCATAGTTAAAAAGAAATAATAGAATTTTGCTGACAGGTTATTGAGAAATGACAGCTAAATATAAAAATAACAATTATCATAATGAAACCAAATAAACGCTTTTTCATAAAATATTATTTAATTCGATTGCCTCAATATTTAACCTCTACATCATATAATTAATCGAAGGATTTCAAATTACAAAATTGGCATATAATGATAGGAAATGATTCTTCTAAGGTTGTATTTTTCTCTGATCAGATGATCGCGGTATTGAATAATCCAATTTGGATGCAAGCTCTAGGCTACATCCTCTTCTTAATAAATATCGCAGCTAACGCTGAAAATGGCTAATGCTAAAATTTGATGACTCATTATGAATATATAAACTTACTAAACACACAAACTTTTTAATTGACAACTCTAACTTTAAATCCTAATTCAACTCTAAAAAAAATTATATAGTAGTGAACAAAAAAATTTTTAAATTCTATATTAAGCCTGATTTCAATACCAACCAATTCCTATATCAACCAATTTTTATATCAGCAACCAGGTGGCGAAACAGTCTACATGGTCATTTACTAGATACCATTTCTAAGCACTCGTGGAATTTAAATTTTTTTATATCAAATTTGTCCTAATTATTGAAAAATCTTCGAATAAATTAGTTGTCTAGAAATTAACCATAGACATTTTTATTTTTAATTTTGAGCGGAAACTTCTCAATATAATTTAAGAAAATTTTAATTGCCTCTTAAAAAGCTGTGGCAAAAGTAAACAGTAGCCTATTTCGTCAACTTATTTCCAGAAATAGAATTCAAATTTTGAGCAACTGAGCAAAAAAATAAAAACGTACGTACGTACGTATCATATTATATTATCTCATTTCCTTCATTCTTCCGGAATTTCGTACAATTTGCCTGGTAGGAACTAAACAACCACCTTAGTACCGCTTATAAGTGCCATAACTAGAAAACCAGCATATTTGTAAAATGATTTTTTTTACAAAAATAACGATATTACATATATTTTATCTATTTAACATAGTAATTTATCATACATTCAGATGCGTTAATTTTTATTAAGCATTAGCAACAACTTCAAAATCCATATTATGGTAATTGCATACATAAAATGATTTAAAGTGATAATTTAAATATACCCAAGTACTATAAGGTTTAGTTCATGTTTTCTAATATCCTCGATTATATTCCTAAAGCTTTAAAATTTGAACAATTTTGGTCTTATTTCACGATATAACAAATAATTTTTTACTCCATTTAATTTTTTTAAAATTCTAATCTATAAATATTCCTTTAATATCTATATAAGAGTCATTAAAATCCTAAAATAAGGGCTTCTTTGTTTTCAACAATCAGACCTCTCTTAGTTCGCCTCTCTAAGTGCACACCCTTTCTAAATGCAATCAAAAATTCTAGTCCAAGTATATCCTTGATCGTTATAAATGCACTATACTTATTATTCTCTAAGTGCACGTTATTAAAGTGTGGTCCCAAGGGAGCGCACTTAGAGAGGTTCAACTGTATTCTCTAATTGCACGTTGTTAAAGTGTGGTCCAAAGGGTGTGTACTTACAGAGGTCTAACTGTATACTCTAAGTGCGCGTTGTTAAAGTATGGTCCTAAGGTCGTGCACTTAGAAAGGTCTGACTGTATTCTACATTAATGATAACTAATTCTAATATTTATATAACAGCAGCAAGTTAAAATTCGATCAACTAAACTTTTATGGCGATACTAGGATGACTGAAACCATTAAAGTCTTTTAATTATTTCTGACATTTAAATTCAATTTTTTCTTGCTAGAGGGATGGTTCCGTGCCGGTTCTGACCCAGTATATTATCTGATGAGAGTTGATTCTGCGGTATTTTGTGAAAATTCTGTAAGCTTCTATTTATTAATTGTTTATTAGTTTGCGCATTGATATGAACATCTTTTTTCTTTCAACTAGTCCGGAAAAAGTGGATTCATAAAATTTGATCCAGCTTTCGAAGGGAAATTAAAGCCTGGAGTTTTTGGCACTTTGATGCAAAGTTTTATGCCTCGAGAATTTTTAGGCAAACGAGTTCGATTAACATGCTTCCTGAAATAAGTTGTAAGAACTTTATAATCACGTAGTTTATTCATTCGGGTCTGCCTTATTCACTGACACTCATTTCGTAGTGTGATGGCGGATTTTTAGATAGGATTTAAGTAGAAATAATAAACGAATAATAAAGTAACTACAATGGCAAAGCATAGACTACTTACCCGACGCTAGTAAAAGTACAAGTATTGTCTTGTAAGACCCCAGTAACCATCGTTAAACAGCACCCGTCCGTCTCAAGAATAAGCTAAACCCGCCGTAGATCGTGCGTCGCAAGTCACGTGACCGTAAAAGCCGTCGCCGTAGTAGAAGAGTTCCGACCCCGAATCGACGAAGTGTAATCCCAGGTTGAAGCATACAAGAGAAGGCGCAGAAGAAAGGAATTAGTAAAGACAAGTGGTTGAAGGAAGGACTCAAGAGAAGAAGAGAATAGTACTTACCTACGGACGATAAAACACTCATCCGATCGTTACACGACTCGCCGATGTAGGAGCTCCCATGATATTCGTGGCTATTGTGAAATCGGGAATTGTGATACCGAATACCGTGACCGATCACGTGAAAAATGCACGAAATGCAATAAATGCAATAAGTGCAATAAATGTAATAAGTGTAATAAATTACATTTAAGATCGGAAACGGTATTTCGGGTAGAAAAGGGATAAAGGGAGGAAATAACAGATATTAAATAAATACTTGTAAATAGTTTAATTAGTTTTAAGGGATAAGTGCATTTGTAAGCGACGAATTTTATATTATAAATAAAGGCCGAAATGGCCCTTAGGAGCAGTACGCTTCGTTTGCTTTATTAAACAATAAATCCCAATACCCTACATTGTACTTAATAAACACTAACACTATTACCGTTACAAACCTTGTAACGTCGCTGTTCAACCCTTGACCACGTGACTTACCCTATTTGCATTCGTCGACCCAAAGTGACCGAAAGCCTTAACCGCCCACAAGCCAAATCTAACACCCTCTTTTGAAAAGGTTACTTGTTGTACGTTACGCGAGGTTTTGAATTTTGGAGCGACAGAGTCGCAATCTTCCAAACCCAACAGTAGACACAACATTTCACCGACAATCAATTCATTCGACACTCAGTTCACTGATAAGCTTAATTCATCGAACATTTTATAGCTAGCACTAACCTTAACATAATTCAGGTATAATTACTTTGTCAGTAAATTGATTGTCGGTGAAATGAACATGTCGGTGAAGTGTTGTGTCTACGAAATGAGTATCGGTGAAATAAGCAGGACCGCATTCATTCATCCATATTCATTAATTTATTTTAGGATGTTACGGGCTGGGCTGGTTTGTGGATGCGAGTCGATACAAAAACGACTCAAACTCTCGATAATATGTCGGACCGATCTCTGAAAGGTACTGGTGATTGGAAGAAGTGTGAATGCATTTTAGACGTTGGTCAAGATGCGGTCAATCTTGCTTTTGGTGTTTTAGTATCGGGTGAGCATATTTATTAATAATCCATTTTATTTTCATCATAATGTATTAAACTATATCATTTTACCCATTAGGTATAGGTAGAGATGGGAAAATCGAGGTTTTTTTGAAACTACTGCGCAGCCTGCACAGCCTACACAACCTCAGTCCCTAAAGACTTTTACTCATTAGGTTTCGCGTTTATATATATAAAACATCTACTTCATATGTGTAAAATTGGGCTACCATCATTTTTAATTAATGCTCCAAGGTTAGTTTAAACGTCAGTTTTTGTTGTTTTGCGTTTTTTTTTCACTTTTTC